ATGTTCTATTTGAACCAATCAGAGAACTTTAATACAATCATCCAATCAGGAGACAGAGTCAGGATCTGACCCTAATTCAAACTGATTGGCGCGGCTCAATGAATCAATTGCCGCTTTCAACCAGAGGTTTATTTCTCCTCTCCCCTTCGCAATGAAAATAATAAGAATAGACCTCTGGAACCAGGATATCCAAGTATCTGCATGTGATTTCATTGATATTTTGTTTCAATATTCTCATGGCAATTTGATGAATTTGACTTTTTTATCCCCAGGCGCCGAATAGACGATTTATATTTTTTGTATTTTGAGCAGTCTTAAAACTCTTAGTGCCGGATAGTGTTAACTGGGGTTTTGTACGACCCGATTTTACAAGAGTTTAAATTTTATGCGTCAGGATGCGAGTCAAAACGGATATGATCATATGCAACCGATCGATGATACCGATCGCTGCATGCGGTATGTCTTTCAAATTAAAACTGTAGGCTGATCAGAGTTAATAGTAATTTCGCTAAAGAACTAAAGAAGACAAGTCCGTTCTAATGGCATGGCTCGTCTTTCTCTTGGCCTTTTTCTCATGTGCCTGTGGAGTCTTCTTGAGGATCTTTCGCCTCTGACGACTCAAAATATTCGCTTTGGCTTTGACTGCGCAGTCTGCGCTTTGTTGTCTCAAACGGATTAGCTGGTACGTCTTTATGTGCTACTCGCACTCGGTTTCCCTTATGGCAAGTTTGCTCGTGCCTCTTACGGTAATCGTCGGGCCCAGGGCCGCCGAGAGGTTAGCGGAGGCCCGGGGCAAATTTTTTTTAGGGGCCCCTATCTAAAAAATTGTTCCCGGACAAATTTGTTTCCGGAGAACAACCTTTCCCCCCCCGTCGCCAAAAAAATTTCGGGTAGTGTACCATTTTAGGGGTAAAAAAATGTTCCGGAATACAAAATTTTCCGGACGACTACGTTGCAATTGCTTTCGAGGGACTTTATCTCATTTTTTTATGCCAAATTCCGGTGCTTAACCCAAGGAAACAGATATCTTGTCCTTTGCGCGGAAATATTTAACACACAAAAAAGGCTGGGGCCCAACAAAAATTTTTCAGGGACCCCCAGCAACTCGGGGCAATTTCCCCCCCCCCCCTGCCCCCCGTCTTGGCTGCCCTGGTCGGGCCGTATGTCAGATAACTTCTATAGTCGGCGAAAGTCGAATTACATTCAGGACACTAAAGTTTTAGTCTTTTTCTTTTGGGTTTTGAACCGCGCATAATTGATAAAGAGCCTTCGCTATAAGAGCAGTCGAGCGAAGAACATGCCCGGAAACGTGGGTTTCACATTTCAGCCTCCCGTCGATTTTCGACAAATAAGACTAATAGTATTACTAGAAAATAGAAATACATTTAAATGGTTTTGACATAAGGCCACACAAACCATTATTTTAAATCCAAAATTTATCACTTTATTTATCGCCTTCGTTCTTAACTTTTACAATTTGCTGAATGCCGATTTCGCAATTTGCCGAACAGTAACGAAGCAATTTGCCGACTGGGGCCGACTTGCGAAAATTATTGCGGCGGGTGAAGCACCCCCACACACCCCGCTCGCGACGGCTCTGGGGCCCGTATTTTTTATGTTTTCGATCTGAGTTAGAGTTAAGATTTGTTTCAAAGCCAACAGTCAGTTCCAAAACATATAAAACTTTATTTTCAATTGCCAAGAGAAGGTCTGGACGTAACTGATCACCAGTGATAACTGACGGAGTAATAAAACCTGGCAAATCTACGTAGAGTTAAAAATAATAATAACAATAATAATAATAATAATAATAATAATAATAATGGAAACTTTATTAAATGTTTTTCTTTACATACATATACAATCGTAAATCTCTCTCATAAAGGTAACTTACGGTTGGCTATTTGAATCACAATTATACTAAACTAAAATAACAGAACAAAGTGCATGCAATATATATATATATATATATATATATATATATATATATATATATATATATATATATATAATGAGATAAGTCAAATTGTTAGTAAATCCGGATTTTCCCATTCCTTATTTCGGCAACAAAAAATGTAATATGTAGTTCTAATAGCAATAGTCATCATTTTCCTAACGCAGTACATTTGGTGGTTTTTGTCAATCAATCAATCAATCAATCAATCAATCAATCAATAAATCAACTTTATTTACAGAGGGTTAAAAATATTACATAGCTAATATACCTGGTAAGTCAAAAGACTTATCTTCCTCAGGGCCCTCGCTATTTTAGTTAAAAATATGAGTTGAAGTTATGTACAATAGAGTGAAATATTATCAGTTACTAGTTAAAAAATAATTTGTTAAAAATTTCCTCTTAAAGTCGTTTAGAGATACACTTTCTCTAATGTTTGAACTTAATGTGTTCCATATCTTTACACTACTGTAGCCAAACGTATTTGTATATATCTGTTTATGATTTCCTGAAGGCAAATACAGATCATTTGCAGAGCTTGATCGGGTTGTCTTTGTATGAACTTGTCTGACAAACCTAAACATATTTGTCATATAATCCGGACATAAATAATTGAGACTTTTGTAGACCATAATAGCTTCATGGTACTTAATACGATCCTCGATAGGCATCCAGTTTAATGTTAAAAACATGTCTTTACTGGGGTAACGATTATCCGTGATGTCCAAAATTACCCTGGCTGCTCTTTTTTGAGCTAAATTGATCTTCTTAACATGAGGTGAACCACCCCAAACAATGGAACAATAATCCATGTGTGGAAGAATGTGCGCATTAAAGAAAAGTTTCCGTGTCTGTAGCGGTAAATATCGTTTAATTCTACGAAGTAGAGCTATACTCCTATTTATCTTTGAAACAGTGGTGTTTATATGATCCTCCCAGGACAGATTATGATTCATAGTGACGCCAAGTAATGGTTTTGAAGTAACGTTTTCCAGTACTATATCGTTAAGGCTTACACACAGATCTTCATTTTGTGGTATGTGAAGCCGTTTTTGCCACGATGTTATGAGCATGCACTTCGTTTTGTCTGTATTTGGCATCATTTTGTTGTCATTACACCAATTTGAGACCTCATCCATAGCTTGATTTAAGTTTTCATTGAGTTGGTTTATGGTTTTCGCAGATGTCGTGATGGTAGAATCATCCGCATACATCTCTATGTCGCCATGTGGGATAGACAGTGGCAGATCGTTAATAAAGACAATAAAAAGCAAGGGGCCCAGAATAGATCCCTGAGGAACCCCTTTCGTCATAGGTAGTTTGGAAGATATTTTACCATTAACAGACTGTACTTTGATATCTGTTTTGTAGGTACGATGAAAACCAATTTACAGAATTTGTACTGCATTTATACATTCGTAGCTTTTGTAGCAAGATACTATGATCAATTAGATCGAAAGCTTTACGTTTTAATCAGGTAGCCTGCGTCGCATACTTCAAAACACATGTTAAAACTATATCTATTATCAGGCCACATTTCCACTTTCGCATTCTCTGTTTTGATCTCGAAGCACATGTTCGAATTAGAATACCAAATTTAAAGTGACAATAAATTTACAATCAGACATTGGAGGATTTCAGTTATTTTAGTTTCTATTTTAGTTATTACAGCAAAACAATGTGAAGAACAGAGCCAGAGGAAATTTATAGTAAAATATTCATATATATATGGTTATAAGTTTAGGGATATATTTATATATATTGTACTTTGTAACTTACTTTATCAATGTTCTCTGTACTGCAGTGAACTAAAAGTAAAGAATACCTAATCAAATATGGCTTGTGTGTGTGTATGTGTTTCGAAGTTCTCAACATTCGATGTCATGATTTTACCATATTCTTATATTTGGATACCGAGTTTTGAATTTGGATACCAAGTTTGAAATGCTGGTATCCATAATGGATACCAGTAAAAAATTCCATTCTCGAACCCTGGCCTATGGTTGTTGCACAGGGAGGCTGACTAAGGCCTATATTTATATCAGAGTGGTCCGTGTGGGAAAACATGCCTTACAATCTCCATTGCTCCACGCTTTTACAGGAAAGCGGTCAGTTTTTTTCTGCACTGATTACTTTGATATATTTGTATGGAGATTATGTGTTGATATTTGTATTGTCTATTGACATATTCGGGCCATAGTCGGGCTCAACAATGTAAAATATTTATGTGAGGATGTGAATAAAAATGAATTTGATAATGATTTGATCTGACTTCAATACGTCATCAACCCAGTTTCGATTACTACTGTATAATATGTAGTTGCCAGGTGATCATTCCGTAGACAAAATCGGTGTTGCAAATACCGAATATCAGCAACCAGACCTTTCTCAGAAAATCAAACTGAAAATGCTTTTAAAATCAACTTCAATACTATAATGTAACGTATCGTTTTTACCGCCGTTACTTCACCGTTGCAAGAAAAAATAGAGAGGTTTGACAACCACCAGGGGGCGTAGGAACCGGGGGGGGGGGGGTTACGTACCCCCCCCCCCCAATTTTTTTCAAAGGACCAAAAGTGCCCTTTTTTGTGATGAAAAGTGCCCTTTTTTTACAAGCTAATGTCGCTGTAAATACTAAATTAACATCAAAGGTGCCCTTTTTGTTTGGAAATTTCGATGTATTTAAAAAAAATTTGGTCAAAAACGTGCAATTTCGGTATAATATGACGGGAAAATATTTCTTTCCCCCCCCCCAAATTTTTAGGTGTCCTTTTCAATATCCAAAAGTGCCCCTGGAAGCCGGTGCCCCCAATCTTTTTTATGCTTCCTACGCCCCTGCCTCTCACTGGCTTAGTAAACATCTGATTGGTTGATCGGACGTGTCAAACGCATTTGACTGTGGCAGTGTATGTCCGAAAACTTGACTTAGGGCTTGTTCAAATAAGCCGGGCTAGCTGGGATTAATCGTGTCACGAAAACTTTTTCTGACATAAAAGATCGTTTTAATGACCTTTACACTGTTACTGGAGTGAAACTAAGTTAATTCAACTTTGAAATGTTATTTTGGATGTTTATCAAAGCCGTGTCGTGATATAAAGAGCTTTATTAAACGAATCATCCCGGTTAACTGGGCCAGCCCGGTTCCATATCAGCAACCCTTTAGGTGTAACGACGTTTGGGTATGGGGCAGCTGACGATCTTTTAAGTAACAATGTAAACTGACTCCACAGTCTGGAGTGTGGTTTCTGAATGTGATTATATATAGCCAATATAGGCAATTTTTGACTTAAAATAGCGTTTTGAATCCGGCGTGGGGAGGAAACCGAAATGTCGGTATACCGCGGTATTTTTTTAACTATTCATTTTGAAATATTCAAATATTGTGAAACTGATATATATTGTCTGAAAAAACACAAAAATATCCTGACCATGGAATCTCTATTGTTTCCGCCCAGTTGCATTTCAGTTGGATGTGAAACGCCAGATTCTCTGGTTTCCCCGAGTCCTACGGTTTTCCTATTCGGTAGTATAATATACTACAATTACAAGTATAAAGCCTCATTGACTGCGTACGTTTGAATTAGTCGTTTTGTCCACATATAATTTATTACGACATATTAATATTATGCATACTGATAGTCATTAAATCGTGGAAAGACATGGTGAGAGTAAATCAACGTGTTATTGAAAAAGCTTTTAACTAATTTTATAAAACTACGAATTATACTAACTGAAGTAAGTTTAATTTTCTCAAGTGCAGGTGAAATGATTGTGCTATTTGATATATATAATGTGTGTGTTAATTCACTTGCAATGTTCGAAAGTGAAGTTAATGTTCTATACTGTGCAAAACCTGTTTTTCGAAGCGCTCCCAAGCGAAAAATTCGAAGACAACTTGCAAAATGTTTTTTTTTTACTCTCGGTTTTTGTCTTCATTATTGTTTTCGACTTCTTCGGGTTCACCACTCTCTTCCACCTGCTGTTCTCCAGTCTCTTTCGCTTCGTCTTCATCCGGCTCAAGTAATTGGCTCTCGTCTTCATTGTCATTAGGAACGGCTGGACTTAATTCACCTTCACTTGAGTTGTCTGATGATTCTATTTGTAATTCATCATCATGATCCTCAATTTCTTCACTTATGTTTACTTTTTGATCACCATCAACTTCATCGATTTTTTGAGCGATTTCAATTTCTTCGCCTTCGTTTTTGTCGAAATCTACAGCCTGCTCACTATCATCTCCAGTGTCTTCAACTTCTTCATTTTCTTCATCATGTTCACCTTCTTTCTCGATCTCGTCTATGGATGTTTCATAATCGAGCTTTTCATTGTCTGAAATGCCATTCTCATTACCATCATCGACTCCATTGGTTCCCGCATCGGATTCAAGATTAACTTCACCATTTTCTATCTTCTCTTTCGCTTTGCACTCTGAATTTACAATTTCTAACTCTTTGGTTTCAGATTTGTCGAGACTCTTGACATCACATCCGGCAAGAAGATTATCCGCAGACTTTGCTCTCTTTTTAAAAATGAGTTGTTTCTTCCACGCCGGCAGTGCTTCGAAACGTTGTTTTTCTTCCTCTGCTTTTCTCCTTTCAGCCTCTTCCTTTTCCGATTGTTCAGATTTCCTTCGCTGGTGAAGTTTTTTCAATGGCTTCATCCATTCGGGTGTTTGGCTGTCTTCATATAACCTCGCCATTTCTTCTCTGTGTTTCTCCTGGTAAACAGAGAAAAGCAGTCGTGTCAATTAAAACAGTTACAAAAACCAAGCTTTTGAAAGCCATCACCAGATAACCTTGAGAATAATAATGCCTTCTAATGGCACTAAAACCCGGTCAAACGAGGGTGAGAGTTATGAGAGTTTTACAATTCTACCTCCCATTTGACCGCCAATGGTTATCGATTATGCAATCTTCGTCAACTTTGAGCTGGTTCAAATTTTTATGAGACTGAGTTGATGAGATTTTACCATTCGCCTTAATTTCCAGTAAACTTTGAGCAACTCTTGTTCTCTTTTGACCGGGGCAACTCTCATCCTCGTTAGACCAGGCAGCGCAGCCATGCAACCACCTGTTTTGCTCTGGATGCAGAAAGGGAACCCGACACTATATTCGCGAGGTTATTGTCCTATAATCTGTCGAATGCAGTTAATGGTAATGCGTAGTTGAAACAATAAACGGGCCATTTCATACTAGCTTACCATTTTCTCTTTTTCCTTTTTTTTCAGCAACTCTTGTTTCCATTGTGGCAGATCACTGGGTATTTTACTGACGGGTGTTTTGCCTGGGTGAAACACAAAGTGGAGTTATTTCCAGGGTGTACGTATTACGTGTCTACGTTGTAGCTGAATTTCAGTATCAGATTACATTACATTACATTTCAACTACCATAACGATTCGGTCTTACTGGTCTTACTGCTTTGCATGCATGAAACCTATACATTTTATCGTCATGCAAACCGACCTACTTGGTCTAGAAAGGATCTTATATATGACATGGCCTGATTGACCTTGGGCCCACCTTGATACTAAGGGGATGAGGAATTATATATAGGAATTCTTTAACCTTTTGTTTGGAGAATGGATTGTTTTGGTTTCTAGTGGATTGAGGAATTTTCCTAAACTTGATGTAGAATACAGAATTTTTAGTTACAATAATTTACTACAGAATTCATGTATTTTTCCACCTTCAGTTTTGTGTGTAATAAAGCTCTTCACGGAGATGCTGTACAGGTGTTGAACGTAGTTTACATGTGTCTTCACTTACCAGCGCGATAAGCTTCTAATCCTTCAACATGACAAACCAAAACCTCTTGACCATTCTTTGTAACGTTTTCACTCATCTTTATTGCGAATTACCAACTTAATTCTTAAGTAAGATAAGTTATAAAGGCTTGACTTTACTTGCCCCAACTCTTACCTGCACGCGAGTTTGACGTTAAGAAGAGTGCTTAGGCTAGGCTTAGGAGAATGTTGTGTGGAAGTATGGTTTCTGTTAAAGCTAAATTTAATGTAGGTCGTATTGGTGTTTTGTGCTTGTGGTCTCGCTCTTGGCATTCATTTTACCGCAACAGAGGTGTTGTTACTGAAAACAAATCCTACATTTCATCATTATACTTTTTATAAAGTCAAATAATTATTTTAAACTATAATCGTTACGGTTTTAACTCCATGTTTTAGTTACCAAGGAATTGGGAAATGCGTTTTTATGAACTTGCAAATCACTAAATCAGTTTAGTTACTCCTGTGGCTATGGCATTAACCGAGTGTGGTAAATATGATTACATGTTTTACTTGTGGTAAAAAAAATCAAGGCTGGAGGTTGCAGCTGGTACCTGTAAAACTTTTATTTTTTGCATACAATTAGCATGACAACTATAGTGCCATCCATGCAGTCACGATCCACTGATCGGAATATTTTATGCACTATTATTTAAAAAGTTTAAAACATGAACAGCAGTATTTTATCAGATATACTGTAAGATATGAGGCGAAGCCGAGTATCTTTAGGTTTGATAAAACACGCACTGCGAATGTTTTAAATTGCCTCAAAAACGATCGATCCAGTAAATTCATTGGCGAAGTAATTTCAAAAAAATATGTTGTGTAAGTCGATCGAGAAAATCAAAGTTAAAGTTTCTGTATTAAATCAAGGGAAATCTCTATCACATATAAAGATACGACACAGTATGATTTTTCTTTGTGTTTTCCTCATTTGAGTTTTTGAATGTCTTTCATTATTTTGAACTTTCTAGATCTTTTGACGTATTTGTGATACATATTTTTGTGAGTTATGCTGAGGATATTTTTAAATATTTTCAATTATATATTGATTAATATTCAACGTATCACTCTGTTACGGACAGTACAGTGAAATGCTGACCTTAAAATATATTATTTCTTAATCCATTTATACAGTATTTATTAACTATTTCAATTTGATTATAACCTGATTTAACTCTGATTTGCATGCTGTAATATGATACAAAAGTGTTGACTGATAGTA